TCTGTTATGGACTGGACAGGAAACAAATTGGAGCAACATTATTACATTGGCCTTTGTCCTCTCATCTACCCCCTATGCTTTAGAGGATTTGGTAGGAAAATGGACACAGACTCGCAAAGGTTGGTTTTATAATAAATTGTTTCTTGATGAAATAAATTAGATCCTACAGTTAGTTAGATATGTATTAGAATTCAAAGAACATCTTTTCAGAACTTTTAAGGCGAAAAAAAAAAAAATGGTGGATGGAATACCAAAAGAAGTGAGGGATAATGTTCCATCAACATCTTGGCACCCCTCCATGGAGTTCATTGCAATGTGTCACTGTACTACATAACTTGGAATTGATGAATATGTGATAAATTAATATGAATGACCAAAGGGGCAGTCATTTCAGGTTAAAGAAATATATGCACTGCACTTCCCCACCAATTCAAAAAAGTGCTTCTAGAATCAATTTTTCAACCCAATATGGACAAGAATTGTTTGAAGAGCCACTGGTGTCTAACACAATATGGTTCAAAAATTGTAATAAAACACTGTTTCCATGGTTTCTTAAAGAAACTAGAATTGATTAGATACCAACATGAGATTAGGAGAAGAAACAATGATGTGCAAACCACAGTTTCTGGGTCCACAAAGCACCACAAAGTCAAACTCAAGGAAACCATGTTACCATTAACTTGTCCTTCTGTGGGGCTGAGAAAGGTGAAGGAATAATGTGGCATCTTCAAGTCAATTCACATTACCCTGAAATAGGAAAGAAAGACTGGTTGTAACTTGGTCTTGTTTTGTAGAGGGGGCTGTAATTTCAGTAAGTTTTCATCCAAAAGCAATGGAAATGATCAGTCTCAGAACTGTCACTCCCTTTTAATACACTCTTTCAGTAGACTCCTTATTCAATGGGATTTTACAGACCAACAGTGTCTTCTAGTATAAGACCAGTGAAGATGAGGCAGAAGGCTTAACCCTCCAGAGAAATACATGTATTATATTAGGGGAAGAGAGGTTGAGAGGGGTTCCTGACCTCCAGAAGACCTAAAAAGGCCATGTGAGAGAGGTGGGGATGGACACAAAGCCCTCAAGAATTATGACTGTGAATTTTATTCTTTTTGAGAAGGAGGGGGAGGCAATTTCCCCCAAACTCCTAGAATATGAGTTTATCTAAAATTGACATGAGATCCACTGATGTACATTCCTTCACTCTTATACAGGACCTATTTCTCTATTTCTCTACCCTTTGCCTGATGTTTTTGCCCCTAATATTCTGATTTCTTCCCCCTTCCTCACCGTCACAGCACACCGAACTCTTGGGGGTCTTAGAGCATACTCGTCCCCAGGCCCTGGTCAGCAGGTTCATAGGGGGCTGTTGCTGCTTAATGCCAGGTTGGTTAAGAATAAGGGCCCCCTTGATTTGACCACCGAGGAGGGGGAGGACCTGGCATGTATTACTGAGACCTGCCTGGGGTCCGAGGGGGGGGTGCCCCTCTCAGAAATATGCCCATCTGGGTTCACAGTGTGGCACCAGCCGAGATGCCAGGGCAGGGGAGGAGGGGTGGCTGTCATCATCCAAGAGTCT